ATAAGTTATGTAGGAGTAGGGCAATAATTTAACCTCTTATTATTATTATTATTATTATTGGTGCAGCATTACATTGCTTTTATTTTTATATAATATACTTTGTCTATGTTTTCTTGCTTTATTATTCACTTTTTGTCTATGTTTTAAAAGAACAAAGTCAAATTTTAGAAACTATATAGTAAAAAAAGTTTCAAAAGTTTGGTTTATGTCTTTAAGAGGCTAAATTAATAAAAAAAAAAATTCATGAATTTTATATTTGGTCTAAAAAATATATTTAATAATAACTTTAATAGAAAAAAAATTAAAAAATTAGTTTAACCGTACCCTAAACTTAGTCATGTCAGTATATTGGTAAATCCTCGAATATCGAACAAAGGACTTCAAAAGAAAGAGGAGTCAAGCCTCCTCGAAGGTATGAAGGCAGTAAAAATGACTAAGACTTCGGAGGAGTCGAGCCTCGATTAAGGGGAGGTGTGCTTTGTTTGAGGGGAGGTGTTGGATGGTGAAAGTCCCACATCGACTAATTTAGGGAACGATCGTGGGTTTATAAATAAAGACTACTCTTTTAATTGGTACGAGGCATTTTGGAGAGCCCAAAACAAAGTTATGAAAGGTTATGTTAAAAGGGATGATGTGTCGTGCTTGAGTTTAATTCATAAGCAACCTCCACTGTTATTGGAGAAATTTTCTGCCAATGAATCTGTAAGAGAAAAATTAATGTTTGTGGGTTCGTTTATGAATCAGGAAGACTCTCCAAGAATGTGGTAATGACTGGAAACATTTTTCTCAATGGAAAGAAGAGGAAGTTCGGATATGGCGACATTGTAAGCACAAACTCTCTCTCTTTCTTGAAGATCAAACTCCACCATGTATCAACCAAGAAAATCATGATTTCCTTCTTAATTTGCAGGCGTATGTGACCCAAGAAGATGTATTATTGGGAACTCTGACTGTGAGAGAAACCATTAGCTACTCAGCCCAGCTGCGGCTTCCGAGTTCTACGACCAAAGATGAGGTTGATGGCATCGTCCAGGCAACCATTTTGGAAATGGGTCTTCAAGATTGTGCCGATCGAATGATTGGGAACTGGCATCTTCGAGGGATCAGTGGTGGGGAAAAGAAGAGATTGAGTATTGCTGTTGAAATCCTCACGCGACCTCGTTTGCTTTTTCTTGATGAACCCACCAGCGGCCTCGACAGTGCCTCCGCGTTCTTCGTCATTCAATCTCTTAGAAATGTGGCTCACGATGGACGGACTGTTGTTTCTTCAATTCATCAGCCGAGTAGTGAGGTTTTTGCTCTCTTTGATGACCTTTTTTTGCTCTCTGGAGGTGAGGCTGTGTACTTTGGGGAAGCTAAAATGGCTACTCAGGTATGCGCTTTGAGGTTGCAGTTTTGTGCCTATCAACTGTTTGATGTAATGCTTCATTACTTGTTATCTGGTTTGTAGTTCTTTGCTGAAGCTAATTTTCCATGTCCTAGTAGAAGGAATCCATCTGATCATTTTCTTCGTTGTATAAACTCGGATTTTGATATCGTTACTGCGACGCTCAAGGGGTCTTTAAGTATTCGAGTAAGATGTTTTGAATTGTAGCTGAGTTCAACAAACCTCTGTTGGATTGAATTTCCAGTTTCTGATGTTGTATGGTTTGTTCATTTGTATCTTTGTTCATGACTTTGAAATTGTAGGACATCCCAGAATCATCCGACCCTTTCATGAATTTGGAAACCGCTCAAATTAAGTCAACGCTTGTTGAAAAATATAGGAGCTCGAAGTACGCAAGTAGGGTGAAGGCAAGAATTCGAGAAATATCCACCATTGTAAGTATTGTTCTGATACCTCTAGTGTAACAACCTAAGCCCACCGCTAGCAAATATTGTCCTCTTTCGGCTTTCCCTCAAGTTTTTTAAAATGCGTCTACTAGGGAGAGGTTTCCACACCCTTATAAAGAATGCTTCGTTCTCCTCCCTAACCGATGTGGAATCTTACAATCCACCCTCATTCGGGGCCCAGTGTCTTTGCTGGTATTTGTTCTCCTCTCCAATTAAAGTGGGATCTCACAATCCACCCCCTTTCAGAGCCCAGCATCCTCGTTAGCACTCGTTCCCCTCTCCAATCGATGTGGGATCTCACAATTCACCCACTTTCAGAGCTCAGCGTCCTCGCTGACACTCGTTTCTCTTTCTAATCATTGTGGGGTGGATTGTGAGATTTTACATCAATTGGGAAGGAGAACGAAACATTCTTTATAAGGGTGTTGAAACCTCTCCCTAGGAGACGCGTTTTAAAAAACTTGAGAGAAGCTTGAAAGGAAAAGCCTAAAGAGAATAATATCTGCTAGAGGTGGGCTTAGATTGTTACAGCTAGTCCTCAAGTCATCAAAAGCCCACAATATATCACCCTACTAGAAATTGTAGGAGCTTGAAACATGAACCAGCAATTGTCTGGAACAAATTGTATGAATAGTTTCATCTTCTTCAGGAGGGACTTGAAGTAGAGAAGGAAAAAGGAGATAAAGCTAGTTGGTTGAAGCAGCTCTCGACATTGACCCGTCGATCATTTGTGAATATGAGTAGGGACGTGGGATACTATTGGCTAAGGATAATTATCTATGTGATAGTCTCCTTATGTGTTGGTACCATCTACTTCGATGTTGGAACAAGTTACACTGCAATCTTGGCTCGAGGAGCCTGCGGTGGATTCATAACTGGCTTTATGACATTCATGACTATAGGGGGCTTTCCATCTTTCATTGAGGAAATGAAGGTAAAAAAACTCTCCATAAACTTGAGCTTGGCGTTTCTTTTAGTATATTGAAGTTTCAGTTTCATTTTTCTGCAGATGTTCTACAGAGAAAGGCTCAATGGGTACTATGGAGTTACAGTGTTTATATTGTCAAACTTCCTCTCTTCTTTCCCATTTTTGGTTTCGATTGCAGTCGTTTCTGGGACTATCACCTTCTACATGGTGAAGTATCGCCCAGAGTTCTCCCGCTACATATTCTTCTGCCTCAATATTTTTGGCTGCATTTCTGTTATAGAAGGATTGATGATGGTTGTGGCTTCATTGGTTCCAAACTTTCTTATGGGAATTATAACAGGCGCTGGAGTCATTGTAAGAACACAATAACATTATGGATTCGTTACCATCTTCTTCATATTTCATGTTTTGCATCTCAACGTACATAACTTTCTTGGTTTCTATTTTCCTTTCAGGGTATCATGATGATGACCTCTGGCTTCTTCCGATTATTGCCCGACCTTCCGAAGCCATTTTGGCGGTATCCTATCTCGTATCTCAGCTATGGCTCTTGGGCACTACAGGTATCATCTTGTTAGGCGTCTCATATCTTCCATTGATGGTTCAATTATGATTTAACTGAGTGTCTAAGTTCATTATGCAGGGTGCTTACAAAAATGACTTGATTGGGCTTGAGTTCAACCCATTGATACCTGGCATGCCAAAGTTGAGTGGCGAGTATGTAATCACCAACATGTATGGGATTCCAATAAACCATTCCAAATGGTGGGACTTAACAGCTCTCATGTTCCTTGTTCTTCTCTACCGAATTCTCTTCTTTGTTGTATTGAAATTCAAGGAAAGAGCTTCGCCACTGCTGCGGACAATGTTCACAAAGAAAACTTTGCAACATCTTCAGAGGAGACCTTCCTTCAGGACAATACCGCCTTCTATTTCCTCTAAGAGGCACCAGCCTCTTCACTCACTCTCGTCTCAAGAAGGTCTCAACTCTCCTCTCAACTAGAAGCTCCAAGGACAATAACTTGGAAAGCATTTACCTATAACAATGTAACTAATAAAGGTATGTAATTAGCTACAGATCCATATGTCAAGGAAAGGAAAATAAGGAGATAGTAAATATATAGAATTTCATACGATTTACATTGTTCATACTTTGTAATAAATTTATTTTTTCTTTTATTGATTGAACTTATAAAATCTATATTTTTCATCAGTTTTGAATGTCTTAGCCTGCCTTTGTGTAAGATTGGAAACTGCTTCTGAGCACATCTAAGGTAAGATTTATGATTATTCCTAATCTGAGAAGCCCTGATGTGTGTTCTTGTATTTTTCTTCATTGTTTTACAGACTTATTGCTGGTTTTTATAACATAGCAGAACAATAATGATGGAAGGAATAGATTAAGACCTCACACTGTGAATTCTTCTGAAACTTCAGAGAAATGGAACTTTTTGCCTTAAAGAGAGGAAAAGGGTTCAAAGCTTCCTGTGATAAACAGAGAAATGGAACATTACAAATGGTAGATATATAGTTGGGCGGTACATGAATGAGTAGTGATATGAACCGTAACTCACATCTCCATATAAGCTTGTAGATGAAGAGCTGCAGAAATGCATAATTGACCCATAAATGTTAGCAACTCTCTCACTATTTCTTCCCTTTTATAGCGATTGATGGTTGGGTTTGGTGAGGTATTTACTGTGCTCTGTTCCTTTGTCAACTTTCTACTCTTTTAACACTCAAAGCCATCCAACCATAGCTTGGCTGACTAAGGAAACTGTCCCCTGCTATTAACTCTCACCCACCCACCCACCTTGCCACATGTTAGAAAGAGAGCTGATGATATCTTGAATATACTAAATGAGGTTGCAGGAGTTGTTTGTTCAAAAACAAGAAAACTCAGACACAAATATTCAGAAACTTGAGATACTGCTTGATCATATAGAACTCTTTATGACCACATTAGATATATGATTAGCACACATACTCGTGCATATCCTTAAGATCATAGGTTCAAATCTTCATAACCGGTATATAGAATTAAATGTTGAAGCACATGCGTATTGATGACTCGTACAGTTCGGACTTTCCTTTTTCTGATAACAAATGTAATGTTAAGCCATTAGAACCTAAGCAGCAATAAGTTTGATGGGTTTTCTGATATAAGCGTTTGCCAAGTCATAAATACTTTAAATTGTTTTCAACTGTTTCTAAACCATTCAGTTGCACTTACCACACACATAGCTGAACATCAAGAGAAAACACACAAAATTTGTAGAAAGAACACACTATAAATGCTGAAGATCAGGAGGAGGAGGGTGTGAGAAGTGTGAGAGACAGACATTCATGGAGATTGAGGAGGAGAGGGCAGATGGGAGATGCTCTGTGGAGGAGGCTGCAAAGAGAGCAGAAGGAAGAAAAGGGAAGTATGGGGAGGCTGCCGCCATTGCTGCTGCTTCTATGTATTTGGTTTGGGAAAATCTGAGTGTTATGGTTCCAAATCTCTGGAATGGACAGAGTAGAAGACTCTTGCTTGATGGTCTCAATGGCTATGCTGAGCCTGGAAGAATCATGGCCATTATGGGTCCTTCTGGCTCTGGGAAATCCACCCTTCTCGACTCCTTGGCAGGTTCTCTCCCTTCTCCTCTTTATCTCTTTAAGCTCTCTGTTTTTTTTTTCTTTTATGTTCTTCTTCTTCTTCTTCTGCATATTCTGTGGCCTTGAAACTTATATCATGATTTAGAAACAAGAACTAACATGAACCCATTTATCTAGGCTTGATTTTGTTCAACAAGAACTAACATAGCCTAAAGGAGACCTTTTCAATCACTTTGATTTTGTTCAACTATTCCATTTTCAGTTCTCAGTTTTCAGAAAGTTGGGTTAGTTTCATCCAAAATTATCGTAGAACCTTGTCATCAACAATGTTTTTAAACCATAGATTACTAGAGAAAGAACTTGTGATCAACAATGTTTCTTAAACCCTGAATAGAAAAAACTTGAAATTTGAATAGAAACCAACAAACCCAGTGGATAATTAAAGCCGCATGGCATCACATGAATATTTATTTAATATTTGACCCACTTTTTGTTGCTTTAGTGCTAAGCTATATTCCCTTGTTTGCCCATCTTTTCCAAAATTTGAGCAACTTATTCATTACACTTTGGTTTAAGTGCGTAGCGATATAGATGTTTTCAGACATTAAATGTGTAGGAAAAACCAATGCGATTTGGGCTCTATCTCTCATCTCTCAACCAAACTTGTCATCTATCCATTGGCTTTGTGGGTGGGCACAACTCATCTCTTTTCAGTATCAGATTCAGAGCTATGACAGACAGGACCATCTATGTAGTACTTTACCCACAAAAATATTATAGGAAACTTTGATCTTAATTTTCATAAAGGGGTAGTTGTAAATAGTCTACATTATAAATAAATAAATAAATGATCCTTTTGAAACTTTGTCTTTATTTAAAAAATATTCATATTTCTGACGTTTCATTAATATTTCAAGAGTAGAAACCTTGCATTAATATTTCAAAGGGTAGAAATCCTGTTCGAATGTTGAGTCGAAATGTCGTTCTTTCAAACTTAACCAAGATAAACATCTTAGCCACAGTCGTTTCAAGTCATCATTACGTATTCTTTCTAACATTATAATGGTAGTTTTGAAACGTTTATGAAAATTCTATGGTAATATAACATTGAGTTATTCAATTCAAATGCTTAATATGAGAGGCATACCCTAATCCTTTTTTGCAGGTCGATTGGCACAAAATGCAGTCTTGACAGGAAATATTCTTCTGAATGGAAAGAAAAGAAGGCTAGATTACGGCATTGTGGTTAGTATTAATATGCAGTTCATCAATCAAGTATGAGCTTTTGATTGTTATTTTTTTAATTTTCTCCAAAATTTCAGGCCTATGTGACCCAAGAGGATACAATGTTGGGGACTCTGACAGTAAGAGAAACCATATCATATTCAGCCAATTTGAGGCTTCCAAGTTCTATGACCAAAGAAGAAGTAAATGATATAGTGGAAGGAACGATATTGGAAATGGGTCTCCAAGATTGTGCTGAGAAGATCGTTGGAAACTGGCATTTAAGAGGCATTAGTGGGGGCGAAAGGAAAAGATTAGGCATTGCATTGGAAATCCTCACCAGACCAAGCCTGTTGTTCCTTGATGAACCAACCAGCGGCCTCGACAGCGCTGCTGCTTTCTTCGTTGTTCAAGCTCTTAGAAGCATTGCTCATGATGGAAGAACTGTCATCTCTTCCATCCATCAGCCCAGCAGCGAGGTTTTTGCTTTATTTGATGACCTTTTTCTTCTTTCAGGAGGCCAAGCTGTTTACTTTGGAGAATCAAAAATGGCAGCTCAGGTAAAGATTAAATTAACAGCTGATGAATGTTTTAAAACACATTCTAAGATCACTGTACAACACTTTCAAGCAGAATCCAACTGAGAAAATCTCATAAACTAAATATGTTTCTGGTTTTGCAGTTCTTTGCTGAAGCAGGATTTCCATGTCCAAGGCAAAGAAACCCTTCTGATCACTTCCTTCGCTGTATTAATTCAGACTTCGACGCAGTCAATATGGCTTTAATGATTTCTCAAAGAGTAAGGGCCTCCAAGCTACTAACTAACGGTTTTAAAACGTGTCTGCTAAGGAGAGATTTCCACACCCTTATAAGAAATGTTTCGTTCTCCTCTCCAACTACCGTGGGATCTCACATTTATCTTCATAAGTCGATAAGTCTGATTATTTCATAGCTACATATAAATGAGTGATTGTTATGCACTTCACGATATGGATATCGAATCTAACAAGCTTAAAATCACACACACCAGAAAGAATACTCAATTTTTTCTGCTATCATATGCTAAACTTTGGGATTTACCATTTTCTGTTTCTATTACTTCAGGAAAACCAAAAACCAGTAGACCCTTTATCTAAGTTTTCAACGGCAGAGATGAAAGCAAGACTAGTTGAGAAATACAGATGCTCAGAGCAGGAAGCCAAAATGAAAACTAGGATGAGAGAGATATCAGAAATGGTAAGCCAACAGTTTATGAACATTCCATTTACATAATGCTTTAAATTCAAACAACGATCTTACTAGTTGCAGTTTTGATGCAGGAAGGACTTTCTATGACTAATAAGAAATGTGGAAACCGTGCTAAATGGTGGAAGCAACTCTCAACATTGACTAGAAGATCAACGGTGAACATGTCCAGAGATTTGGGATACTACTGGATAAGAATTATTGTCTACATACTATTATCTATATGTGTGGGCACGATATTCATGCATGTTGGTACAAGCTATGTTGATATCTTTGCAAGGGCATCTTGTGCTGCATTTGTTTCTGGATTCATGACTTTCATGTCCATTGGAGGCTTTCCATCGTTCATTGAAGAGATGAAGGTATAGATTACCTCCATGTTTTGTTCCAAAATTTCACAGCCTTTTATATAGTTTTATGGAACCCATTGAATAGCTTAATGCCCATTAGAAACTTGTGTAGAACAAGAAGCACTGGGTTAAATTGGGCAAGGAAGGAAACTGGAATTGAAATTGTTGCTGCCAGGAGTATTAGATTGATGAAATGTTGGGCTAACTTTGTGAGAGGGGAATGAAACATTTCTTATAAGGTGTGGAAAACTCTCCCTAGTAGATTCCTTATAAGGGTGTAGAAATCTCTCCCTAATAGACACGTTTTAAAATGTTGAGAGGAAGTCCACAAGGGAAAGCCCAAAGAGACAATATTTGCTATTAGTGGATTTGGACAATTACAAATGGTATTAGAGCCAAACATCGAGCGGTGTGCCAACGAGTGGGGTGAATTGTGAGACCTCACATCGGTTGGAGAGGGGAACAAAACATTCCTCATATGGGTGTAGAAATCTCGTCCTAGTAGACGTATTTTAAAACTTTGAGGGAGAGTCCAAAAGGAAAAGTCCAAATAGGACAATATCTACTAGCGATGGGCTTAGGCTGTTACGAACTTTCATCGTTTTGATATTTGAATACATGTTTTTGTAAAACAGGTATTTCACAAGGAAAGGCTGAACGGGCATTATGGGATTGTTGTATACACGCTATCAAATTTTCTGTCTTCATTCCCATTCTTAGCTCTCATGTCTGTTGCTTCTGCAACAATAGTATTCTACATGGTCAAATTTGAAACCGAGTTCTCTCGTTACGTCTACATCTGCCTTGACCTGCTGAGCTCCATTGCAGTTGTAGAAAGCGCTATGATGATTATTGCTTCCTTGGTTCCCAACTTTATGATGGGTGTCATTATTGGAGCTGGTTACATTGTAAGACGACCATTACTATTTCATCTTTTCATGAACACTTTGAAACAAAATCTCTTAAAAACTTTACTTTTTGTTCCTTTTAATGAATGACAAAATGAAATAAGTGAAAATGTGTGATCTGTGCAGGGAATCATGATGATGACTTCTGGTTACTTTAGGTTTGTGCCTGATCTTCCCAAGGTGTTCTGGCGTTACCCAATATCATACATTAACTATGGCGCCTGGGGTTTACAGGTACTTCTAGCTCTTTTAGCAAAAAAAAACACTTATTTGGAGAGAAATAAGTATATTATAAGATTTGGGATTGTTCTATTCAAATGCAGGGAGCGTACAAGAATGACTTGATAGGGTTGGAGGTCGACTCTCAAATTGGAGGAGGTCCTAAAGTAAAAGGAGAAGTGATCCTTGAAATGTTGCTAGGATATCAAGCTCATCACTCCAAATGGTGGGATTTAGCAGCTGTGTTAGTCATTCTAGTTACTTTCAGGCTCCTCTTTATTTTGATCCTCAAGTTGAAGGAGAAAGTTTCACCTTTTTTTCAAACACTCTACGCCAAGCAGACTCTACGACTTATCGGTGAGCCATCCTTGGCTACGAGAAAATCAAAACTGCCACAGTTCCCTTCTAAGAGACATCACCAACCTCTTTATTCATTGTCTTCTCAAGAGGGTCTCAACTCACCAATCAACTGAAAGGGAAGGGATAGATCAACTACATTCATACGGTAACATGGGATATAAGAGTTTAAACTACCCAATTGATTGGAAAGGAAATACAAACATAGACACTTTTTAAGCTTTTGTTTATGATGGGATAAAAATGTGCTCTGTTTTAGCTTGCCTTGAATGGCTTGGTGGTTCAGGAGGTGGTGAAGTTGGTTTTGATGTTTACGGTATTTACTCAATTGCCACAATAACAAATCAGATGTTTAATTTTACCCAAAAGTGCCTCCTTATCAAAAGTGTTTGAGAGTGTTTACATTGTGCTCAGCAATCTATCACTTTTGGTGCTTGGTTTTACACTTCTAAAAATGCTTTTAAAGCACTCAAATCAGAACGAATCTCAAATGTATGTAGCCTTTTTCCAAGTACTTTTAGGTTACTTGAACATGATATGATAATAAATACACCATAATCGAGCATACCTTTGGCATTGGCGAGTGGCGACCGAAAAGGCACTGTCAAGTACATACTAAACACGCTCTCAGAACAAAATAATTTTCATAGAAAAACAAAACAAACCAGAAACAATTCAATTTAAAACACCACCGAAACCCAAACAACCATGAGATATAGAAGCAAACATAACAAATGATTTGATAATTACTTTCATAGCTCCATTCATGGAAGCTTATCAAAATGTTCTTTTAACCCGAACTAAGTTCACTATACTTTATTGTTATTCCCATCTGTTCCGATATCTTAAAAGCACAGAAATAGTGAAAGAAAAGAAAAGCGGAAAAAATGACAGAACGAGAGAAACAATGAAAAGTGAAATATAACCAAAACCAAAAAAACGTCACAATGGATCTTGTACTGCAAATAAGGAAATTAAACAACTCTTAATTGTAAATTGGAACCTTCCTCGCGTTCATTTGAAATACCTAATTTAAAGCAAACCAAGCGAATTAGCCTTCACTTCTGAATTCCTATAAAACGGGCATAGTCCACCCACCTGGCAAAGCAAGTTTATACAGTGTGAGTTAAAATAGAGAAAGACAAGCGATCACATTTTTTAAATAATAATAATAATAAAGAAACCAATTTTCATAGAAAAAATACAGTAAGAAATCACATTTTTAATAGAGATGTGAAAATCTTACAAGAGTGAACCAAGGAATGTGTTTCCTGTTCTAACAGCAAAACAAAGTGCGCTGAGCATGAGCTTGTGCTTGTGTAACAAGGGCTCCAAAATTCGCTGTTCTATTACACCAGCCAGAACTTGATACCTACAAAATGAAATATCCCAGTTATAAGAAAAGCTCGGAAATGGATGAGCCCACAACATCAGGGTAGAAGAGAGCAAGACCAGCCGGTCAATCTTTTTTAAAACAGCAGCAATCAAATCAATATTAAGCAAATTTATTCTAAGTTTCACAGTAGGCAATCGAAATTACAGTGTAATCATTACTTTTCATCACAAAGATATCCATTACAATTTGATTATATCACCTTCGGCGCATCATTCTTCTAACTAAAATACTGTCCTAGCAAATGCTTCATTCATCCCTCATTTTTCCTTTTCATAAGGATCTCAATTCTGGTTTAACCTCCCTTGCATTCTAATTTGTATAATAGTACTGTACACAAGTAACTTGTATTTCAAAGTTTTCAAGATAAAGACCAAAACCTGAAATCTCAAATGAATACCAATCACACCAAAGAGTGCAATAAGTCTCCACTTTTAGGAAACGTTAGCGTATAATATTTGTACAACAAAGAGTACGCAAAAAGGCTACAGATGCAGTGGTAAGCCAGGGTAAGAAAACCCACCATATACTGTTTCTAAATATAATTTATGGTAGCACTTTCTCAAAAAGGGGATTCATTCTAAATATAATTCATGGTCGCATACAACAAGCTATAACTGCAGAAAACCAATACCTGAGGTTGCTGGAGACAGCCATATAGACACCGTAACCAACACTGGTGGAAAGTATAGGCACATTTTCCACTTCAGCTGCAGCATTCTTATCAATGGCCTTCCTTGCATTGATTACAGTATTGGTAACAGCTGTGCCAACCTATACAAAGAGCATAACGAATTAGTTTCTGCAAAGTTTATTCAAAAGACAAACACCCCAGGTGTTGCAGGTAGTGGCTGAAGAAATAAGAATCCCAAAAAGAGGTCTGATGGTTACTGCTGGGGCTATAAAACAAGCGTTCATATTGTTGCATATGAGCTAAGACGGGTCCCACTTAACATGATGATTGAAGTATAGCAAGAAAGGGACAAAATGTAAAATAATATAAACTTAAAGAATAAGAACAACGGGTCAGGCAATAAGACCCCAAAGAGCATAACGAATTAGTTTCTGCAAAGTTTATTCAAAAGACAAACACCCCAGGTGTTGCAGGTAGTGGCTAAAGAAACAAGAATCCCAAAAAGAGGTCTGATGGTTACTGCTGGGGCTATAAAACAAGCGTTCATATTGTTGCATATGAGCTAAGATGGGTCCCACTTAACATGATGATTGAAGTGTAGCAAGAAAGGGACACAATGTAAAATAATATGAACTTAAAGAATAAGAACAACGGGTCAGGCAATAAGACCCCATGGTTCACCGTTCAAAAATTTTCAGCCCAGACTCCCAATCTTCAAAGGACTGCATTACTAGTTAAATTCAGTGGACAAAAGAATTCTGAGGAAAAAGGGAAGAGCTAGAAGTCAGCCAGATACCTATTGATCTAAGGCCAAACAGACACAGGACCAAAATTTGAAATTTTTATGGCGACAGGTGGTAAAAAAACAAGCGACCATTTTCCTATGACAGATGACTCCAGCAGCAAAAGAAGCCATAAAAGATGACTAGACAATGACGTGATACAAAAGACCCTAAGAATTTTGGAAACGCAAGAGGAGACATTTGACAATGTACCAGTGATGAAGTCGTGCCAACTGCAAAAAGCTTAGCTCCATTGCGCTGCAAAAGTATCCACAGAAAACATAATAAGTTGATTTTGCATTTTCTTCTAAATATACAAAATTGATGCAAAATTTACCAAAAGTTCTCATACCGCTATTGCACCAAATCTCTGTAATAATGAATACGAAGTTCCAGAGAGAGCAACCTAAAACAGAACAATAATTTAGTTCTCAAAATCCTCAAAAGAAAGGTTCAGCAAAGATCCAATTAATCCATGAGAATGAAAGACCTGGAAAGCATTATCAGGACATCCATGGAAGAACTTCGCAATAGCTCCTGCACTGACTGAAAGTGGTGGTCGGAGAGAAACAGTCGGAGCAGGAAGATAAACAAGCATGAAATCAGCAATAACCGCCATTACCTAAAAATATGTACTTGTCAATAGATTTGCTTCGAATGATATCTTTCTCGACAAAAAGAGCATGTGCTCTTTCAAGAGTTAAGAAAGAACATAATTACCAATTTTCAACTCAAAACTGCAAATACCCTAAAACATTAGTTAGTCCCACTTGTCTGAGCCAAATACCAGATTGACCATTTTACAAAACAGAACATCTGCACATATTCACAACGCTCCAAGAAACAACTCCCTGTCCTTACTACGTTATACAAAGGAATTCAATCATTGCATTAGACTAATTGCTCTAGTATTCCAGCCTTGTGTCTAACCATCTTCTACCGGTGACAATAGACAAGTACTTAGAAATGATTGCTTATCTTAAACAGTGAGATGCCATCACAAATTTATAGCCATGACTGACGATGACCACACTTTTAGTTTTTGGATCACCAACTCCTTTATCCATTATAGATTCTCCAACAATCAAAGTCCACCGGTTGCTGGCAGAATTACACTTCCACTCTTTAATTGTTAGATGCATGTGGGGATGAAAAGTCTATCTGACAATTATGAAAGTGGTAACCACTCTGTTTTAATCACTCCCAAAATTTTCTCTTTTGATTAAGGAAAACGGGATGACATCATCTGACAGCAGACTAACGTATATATCAAGCGAGAGCGTATAAGTGCTCTAGTGCTATCACTTAGACGTGCAAATGAAATGTAAAATATTTGATGAGTAACAACAGGGTTATACCACATCAGCGAAAACAATCTCGAGCTCATCAAAAAACTTTTCCCTTCGGCGCTCATACTCAGCAGCAGTCTGAAAAATAAATTACGAAAATTAACTGCAGGTAAGGGAGAGGAAAGAAGGGGGTGAGATTTACAATAAGCTAAAAGTAAAACGCATCCAAGGAAATGATCAAACAAATTTCAAGGCCTGTGTCCTAAGATGATATCGTTTAATGCAGGTATGCATGCAAAAGGGAAGTAGAAAGCCCCAACGAAAAAGTCAGATCAAATAGCCTAAAACATCACAGTTCAAGGTCAATAGTAAAATTTGAACATGTACAATTGAGTGGCAAAGAAATAGAAAAAAGATGGGGAGGGAAAGATTTCTATATTTGTCGGTAAAAGCGAAGAACAAAATAAATGCAATAAAAGAAACGAGAAGATCCGTATAAATTATAAAGGGCATTTTTACTGATCCGGAACATGAGAGTGAGTGAAAAGAAAACCTTTGTGAAGACCCCAACGCCGCATTCCATCCCGACCTTCGCTAGAAACAAATCGTCCGCCAACAGGCGCTCCTTGAATCCACCAAACTGCATCAGCCATCGCATGATAGCAGACTTCTCAAGCTCAAAAAACTTCGTGATCACCGATCCAGGGATTCGACCGGCCTCGATCGCGGCCACCAAGTCCTTCGGCAGGCATTCCAGTGATCGGCCAGCCTCAGCCAACACCAAAAGCGCCTCCGCCTTGTTCTTATCACCAGCATTTCCAGAGCCACCTTCATTACCATGATCATCACCGCCCCCGCCCCCGCCTCCTCCGCCGCGCGAAGAAAAGTTACCGCCGTCAGAACCACCACCTCCAGAAGAAGACACCAAAAACATCCGTCGACGGTCACTTAGATCGCATCGGTCATGTCGACGAGTGAGAAACATACCATTGGCTTTGAAACCGGCAGTCAAGGAGGTGAAAGCAGGGGAAGCGGAGATGTGCAAGTGATGCAAATGCGACGGCGATGACTGAAAACAACGATTCTGATTCAATTTAGAAAGAGACAAAGAAGCCGGATTGGTGAAAGCGGCAGAAGCCATCGCGAAAAATCTCTCTTATTCTCTCCCTCTCTCTCTCTCTTCCCGTCGGTCGGTGGCGGAGGAAGTCTGAGCTTCAGACGGCACAGTGAAGTAGGTGGGCGGGCGTTAACACTTAGAGAGCAGAAAGAGCCATTAGGGGTTTCTGTTTCCTGAGACAAAAGCCTAAATAAACAAATAAACATAAATGTTTATTATTTTCCTCAAAAATCCACTTCCTCAATTGGCACACGCGCGCTAACCATGAACTTCCAGCGCGTGAGGGCATTTTGGGAAGTCTGTTTTTTTTCTTTTGATATAAAAACTAAAAAAAAAAAAAAAAAAAAAAAA